GTGTGTGTGTGTGTGTGTGTGTGTGTGTGTGTGTGTGTGTGTACAGGTGTGATTAGCACGCTGACTCTGGCTGAGGGCCTTTCACACCTCAGGTGAACCAATTACCATATTGCATCAACCTATCAGCTCCTGTCAGATAGTCGGGACACCTGCGGGCTCAAACACTGGAGTTAGTCACAGTGGTTTAAAGCTATCTGACCCGCATCTGTCAGCTCTAATACTGAAACCCACCTTGCCTTTTTTTTTTTTACAAAAGGAAAAAAACACAGACTTTTCTAGAAAGGCAATGAAATTAGTTTCTATTTTTCCTCTCTGAATCCTGAGGATTTGAAATTGTCCAAAAAGATTTGCTGTGGTTTCAAATGTCCGACGGGGGTTTCCCAAACCGTCACGCTCTTTGTCACTTTTGGAAAATGTCACAGTCTCTTCAACCCGCCCGAAGTTTGTTTCCACACCTGCTTGTAAACAACCAGTGAGGAGCTTCCTTCACTCTGCTCTTCCAAGACAAGTTTGCATGATGTGAGATTCACGAAACTGACTGAATCTCTCATTTCAGCAATTTAGAGATAACCTTGTGTTACAATACAAAGAGATAAAGTACATATCTCTGAAAATGTGGCAGGTAAAAGTCCTGACATTTTTCCCAGCATGAAACAGGATATTGGATGTGACATTATCAGGTTTCTTTACATACACCATGCTATTAGTTTATGGAAGACAACAATGGATAGGTAGGGAGTACATGACAAGACGCACTCAGCTAACTTAAGGCCTCAGACACACAGGAGAGACCTGCCAGCGACCGTTCAGCACCCACTGGGTTTTTCCTCACCAACTGTGAGTAGTTGCAGGAAAATACATGAAACTGCTAATCTGAAGGCATGCAGCCTTAAAATACTGGTCAGTGACCCTCTGGTAACTGTTGGCTAAGAAACTTGCTAGCTATTTACTTGCTAGGAATAAGTGTGTATTCCGGGACTAGTTGGCAACTGGTTACTGGCAGCTGCTAGCTTGAAACTGGCATGCTGATCCACTGGAAATATCCTTGCAGTTGCTTTGGTTGCTATCAGGTTGCTAGAACCACCAGTAGTTTGCATGGAGGGCATCAACTTGTCTGCACCTGTCTGCTACACAAAAGATAGTGAAACTGTGAAAAGTATGACGAAAAAAGAAACAACATTCGCCTTCAAAGTAAAAGCTGCATCTTTTGAAATGTGTTGGTTGAAGTGATAAGGCACAACTTTTATTCTTAAGGTAAACATTTTTCGTTTCCGGTTTGTACTGTATCGCACATTTTATGACAGCTCAGAGAATAAATGGGGAATGTTTACAGACAAGTCGGTGTCTTTCATGCAATCTACACGCAACCATGGTAACCACTCACCAGCCGGTTGGTAAAGACACAGCAGCAGTCAAATAGATAGCTAAACTATGATTAACAGCTGAAACTTGAAGCTAACACTGCAGATAAACATGTTGAGCTAAACAGTACAAGAGTTGAAAGATGTAAAAGCTAAAATCAACTAAAATGACAGAACCTAAAGCATTTCTAGCAGTTAAATTATTAACAAATTGCGGTGCCCCGCAGGGGACATGGGAGGAAAAAAAATTAAGACGGAGTTTTGCGAGATCTCGCAAAACAAACTCGGGATCTCGCAAAAGTTTTAGCCGCATTCTTCGGACGCCGGCTCGAAGCCGACCGGGAGGTTGAGGCACGATGTGCCGGGAAAGCGGTGTTCCTCCCAGCTGTAGTAGG